GTGGAATATCTGGGGTCAACTACTACAACGTCGACGAGGCCAAGGGCGAATTCATATCAAGTTTGGTTCGTGTGAACTTCAACGTCACCCCCATAAGCTATCAAAAGGGCTTTCGACGTCTAACACTATACCACTATAGTTAATCTTGACCAGCTCTATAATAATCCAATTACCATTGGGCGCGGTGAAGATCTCCATTTTACTATTCTACCAACGCGTCTTTCCAACACCAGCTTTCAAGCTCTGCACTTGGGTCGCCATCGCAGTCGTTTCAATCTGGGGGATACTCTTTTTCTTTGTGAGTCCTTCGAACCCTATTTGATGAGGAGGTCAACTCTAACATGCTCCGTTATGAACAGCTCACCCTATTTCAAAAGAGATATTATTCAGATTTACTAAATGGAACGGGTGAATGGCTTCTCGACTCGTCATCAGTGGGGATAGCGCAGGTTAGCTCGAGTATTGCACTAGATGTAGCTGTGCTTATATTCCCCCTGCCTGTCATTTACCGCTTGAATATGGCAAGGACACGCAAGATTGCAGTGGCTTTGATCTTCTGGTTAGGAGCCTTGTAAGTCGTTCCCCAGTTTGTCCATGAAGGTCTAACTGATACTCTGCAAGTTGCGTTGTGACTGCTATACTTCGGCTGTACTATCTCAACAGGTCTATTCGCGAGATATCTAAAGATCATAGTCACTTGTGTAAGTTTTTCTACTTTGATGCCGTGTTTCTTCCAGCAAGAAAATGAAATTAACGCGAGTGATTGGGATTCCAGACCTTCAGAGTAATATTTTCATATGGAAAATGATTGAGCCCAATGTATCCATTTTAGCAGCAAACTTGCCGCTATATGGACCACTTCTCAGAGGTGGGCGCGGCCCAGAATCCATAATCCGCAGTGTTCGCTCCGTCCTGAGTCTCGGCAGTAACGCCTCAAAGGGGTCTCGCAACAGAACCAAACAAGACAGTGGCGTTGAAGACGAGTCTTTAGTTTCAGCAGGCCACCAACAGTGGCCGGGCAAGGGTAAACAAGATGTTCAATGCACTGGAGGAAAGAATAGTGACGAAATCGAGATGGTCTCACTCAACCCGCCAGATAGGATCGAGGTCACACGTGGGGTAACGGTAGTAACTGAGTAAGATGTGCGCAACATACGTTTAGTAACGCGAGTAATAACGGAGGCTGAATGAGATTTAATGCTACTTTATAGCCCGTGTATAGAGCGTGTGTACTTGTTTACACCTCGGTCTTCACTGAAAAGTGCATTTAAGCAGCTTGAGTTGACTATGGCCAGCAGAATGACTTACTCCGCTTGATAGTCGTTCGTATATATAGGTTTCCCTTATCATCAAAAGATACATGTTGCTCTCAGCGTTATGTTATTTCGTTTGATATTACACTAAAAGCCCCCTCTAGACGATTCCTCGGCCTTCAAGCTCATACCGGGTTGTCGAGCATTAACGATCATGTCTGAAATAAAACAGAGTACTGGATAGAAAGCCAACGCTCCTCTTAACTACTGCTGCCCACCGACAGCCTATAAGGCCTGTCTCTTCCCCAAAATTTGACCTGTATACGACCGTAGGATATATAGGCAACCAGCTGCCGAGTTGGAGCTTAATCACCCTAAATACCGGGCTATAACCCCCGGCCCGCGACCTACCTACCCCTTACTGACTCAAAGCTTGCACGCTGCTCCGAGTGCGATATTGTGACATCAGCTTGAACCTTTCGCAAACATAGGTACCTAGCTATTCGCGAGTTGCTGCGTTATAAGGGCAGTGTATACATACATATTTGCATGGTCAACTCAATTACTTCAGCTCGAGCTAAAATAGGCCCTTTACTACGCAACAGCATATATACAACACCCATTGCTCGTGTGGCGGTCCCTTTCACTCGATAGTAAGCGGTGGGAGATAATGGTCGCCCAAGGCGGACGGTAGGCGTGTTAACAACTAAGCATTAGAGTGGAGAACGGAGAAGGGCCTAATAGGGATGTGAGGTTCCAGACCAACACGGTTAGGATATCCTCACGGATATTGACGAATGTACAATTTAGTTTACCGGGCCAAAATTTAGCACACAGCTAAAATAGCTAGACGTTAAGTATTAAAAGCTTACACTACCATCTTCAGTACTCTAAATTCCCATAAGTATCATTCATACCGAGCGTTGACCGTGGCGAGACCAGTGGCTAAAGCGTTGATGTTGGCATCCTTCCTTCTAATGTCCTCATCACTCAAGTGAAGCTTGACAAAGATCGCGAAAACATGTTCGACCGCCATAAGATGGGCCGCGAACACGCCTTGAAGCACAAGCCCAAGCCTTGAAGGGATTAGGAGGTTGTGTTTGGACAGCCATATCGTATTCTACTACGGACTACGCATTTCGACTCTATGTCTAAGGTGTTGTTAACCGTCAGATAAGATAAAAATAGGGGTAGATTCAGGATACTCAGTATACCAGGTGCATCGCGCATTAATTGCCATTTATCAATCAAGAATTTAATTGCAAAGTGTGAAATGTCCTATGAGAGCCCGGAGTTGTACTCCTCAACATCTATCGTCAGGAGTGTAGCGAGCCCATCAGTCGCGTCCTCAGATTTTGGCGCTGTGTCCCCAGGAGACGACCGAACTTCGCTGGCGCACTATTCATTGTGCTATTGTTGACAACGGTAAACCTGTGTTCTATCACTAACGAGATTAGGCGGAGAACGATGCCTAGTTGGCAGTCGTATCCGCCATTCAGATTTGTCTCTGGATGAGTGGCGCAAGGAAGAGAGGTGACTTGGACGCAACGAAACAGTCCGCTTTTGTCTCTAGTGCTCTTGGTATTTAATAATTCGGGAGTGGTGAGGCGTAAGTGCTCGCTGGGTTAAATCTGAATGTTTAGGGGGACCAGGTCTCCGAAATTTATCTAAAGGTGTATCTGTGCCATAAGGCCACAGGCATACAGATCGAACAAGGAGACTGTTTATGTATATAATAGGTAGTGCGTGAGAAGGCGGGTTTGGAAACCATCGCGCAACAACAAGAATCCATTACTTACCCATAAGTATAGGGCTCGTACAAATCTGCTCGAAATAAAATCCCATTGAATCTACAGCAAAGGCCCATTTGATTATCTAGTGTCGATAGTACAGTTCCTACTGGCAAGCAACTATCATATCGCGTCGAGCCCGATGGTAGAACAGCGAATCAACACCTAACCAGACCAGTAGTTTCCAATCTCCCTAAGATCATCAACCAATGCAGGTGGATTATCTAGTGCTGGGAAATGGCCCCCAAAATCATGATCTGGACCTTGTTAGCCGCGAAACTGGCAGCCTAAGAGAGCCATGTGAGCAAGGGGAAAGAGGAGAAAAAGGGACTCACAATTGTACAAGACTAGGTTTCCAACCCACGAGACCACTTCCTTGGTCCAGAAACCGTAGTTGTACTTGAAGCTACTAAAGAGCATGGGCGCATCGGTCCGTGCCTTTGCATAGCTTGGCTTGATGAGAGTAGGATTCTGCGCGTATGTGAAAACTGAGGATACAAATGACTTTGTCATGTAATACAAAGACACCTCAAGCAGAATGTGGTTATGTGTAAGAATAGACGGCGCCGTGCCTGCTCGTGGATCGGACCCTATGAACGAGTTAGCTTCTAATGTATAAAACCTGCGTGGAACACGGAATCTCACATTCGATGTATTTCTCGCCGATCCATGCTAGTTGGCCAACTGGGTTGTCGTAGAGCGCTAGTCCGATGGTGTTGGGCTGTTTGAGTGTTTAACGCACGGCTCTTCAAAAAGACGTAAAGCGAGGGCGTCGACCCTGGCTGGCACTTACTTTCGTAGACTGTTCAACGGCATACCCAGAACCGGTGGCTTGGAACGCGAGTGCTAGATCCTCCTGAAATTGCTCTTCCTCGTCGAGAGTGATATTGTATTTAGGGAACTGATCTGGACTCAGGGGGAGGAAGGGTATTTCGAGAAGATGGGCGGCGCGCACTGTCTTATTGTAGTTGTCGTACATGCTGTATCCTATGAAGCTGCCCCAATCTGTCCCATGAACGGCGTAGGTCCCGTATCCCAAGATATCCGTCATCAAGGTGTTGAAAATACGCGCCGTATCGTCAAGTGTCCAGTTGGCCGGCGGCGCACTGGAGAATGCGAAGCCTGGCAGCGAAGGAATCACGACGTGGAAGGAAACGGGGGTTCCTTTCGACGTCTTGGCCGCCGCAACTAACGGGTCGACCAACGGGATAAGCTCAGCGAAAGACCCAGGCCATCCGTGGATCAGAATCAGTGGTATCGCGTCCGGATCGTGGGATCGCTCGTGGACAAAGTGCACTGTTAGGTTCTCGATGGTTGTAGTGTACTGCGGATGCTTGTTCAAGGCAGCTTGCTCAGCGGCCCAACTGAAGCTCGTCGTCCATTGGTCTTTCAATGACTTCAATACGTCGAGGTCAATGCCGAGAGAACCGCCAAGGCCAGAGTATTCCTCATCTACGGGCAGCTGAGCTTGATCAGCCAGCTCGAGCATCCGTGATGAGCACAAGTTGATGGTAAAGGGCTTTATGGCAGCACGCGCCCCTAGACAGGATATAAATCCCACCAGCAAATGCGCGGTATACATCAGCCTCATTTTGCTTGAGTTAACCCTACAACAATTATATCCTGAAAACGACTCGGGACTCGACGGAGGATCCACTAATACGCCATGGAAGGGCAGGAAGAGCTTTAGGTTCTGTGGTCTCCCTCCCTCCTTTGTTTGTCGTGCCCCGTAACTATGACTATTTATATTTCATTTGAGACAAAATGATAGGTTACCTACTCCGGAGCACCGCGGAAGAGATCTAATAAGTGTCTTACCAACACTTGATTCATCATACTTACTCTGTCGATATCATCTCCGGTCGTCCCGATGGCCCTATGTTGACTGACGCCGACGTTGCCTATGTACAATACAATGCTGCCTAACCGGGCTGCTGACGTCCAAGATGGTTTCGATGGCCTCGTGGCCTAATGGCTAGGGCGCTAGATTTCGGTGATACAGAGTATCTGATTCTCTAGAGATTGTCGGTTCGAGTCCGGCCGAGGTCGAGATTAACTTTTGCAAATCAACGCTGCGAATATCTTCGCTGAATGTGATATCTACTTATTCTTCACGATTATTTTTGCATGTTTCATCTGATAGGTACTAACTACCTAGGTACTCAGTAACTACTACTATGAGTGTCCGGCCAGCCTACGGTTTAGGGTATCAAGGTGTGGTGAGTACTGGATAACAAGAGCTATGCGGGGTATCGTATATGGGCAGAGTGAAAGTGGCAAACTTGCACTCTAATCTAATACCTACTACCCATTAATTCTACCGGGACCACGGCACTGATTCTTTTGCCAGACTTCGTGCAAACCAATACGGATCAATAACTGACTCAACCAACCTGTAGTTATCGGGAGCGATAGATAACGGCGATAGCGGGGTGGTCTGTGAATGGAAGGAAATCATGGACGCCCCGACTCCTGCCCGATTTCGGCCGGTTCCAGTAAAAAACATGTTCCACCGCCAATGACAAGAGTCGCATTCTACTCCTTTTGTTTTGGTCTCTCGTTGCCATGACCAATTGCGGCTCTGCGGCGATCGTAAAGCAAGTCCCCATACCTACTACATACTACTGTACAGTAGACCAGTAGCAGCGACAGTACAGTAGCAACGGGGGGTGCTCGGCGAGGGCAGTTTCGACAACAAGTCCGTCCAGTCTACCATGTCCGCCTCTCTCCCAGGCAACCGGGAGCTGCCCGAGTCGCAGTATGACCTGAGCACGTATTGGGGTCGCGTTCGCCATACAGCGAGCATCACGGATCCGCGGTGAGTGTCTAGTCTACTCCGGTGTCTCCAGTCTCGCCTCCCTTCACGCCTGCGCCAATGGACCCCGAGAAGAAATATATGGTGGAGTGGCATTCTAGTAGAGCGATTGTTGTTCTCCTCACTCCGGCGCACTTTGACTGACCTATGTTTTGCTCTCTTTAGGACCCTCTTAGCAGGGAAGAGCGGCCTCGAAAATGCGAAGAAGTTGATTGTGGCGTACAAACAAGGCGAGATCAAGGAGATGACACCCGAGCTATGGAAGGCGAAGAAGATTGTCGATTCGACAATACACCCTGGTACGGCGGCAGCCTCATTCACGACTTGCGACTTGGAACATACATGGCTAATAATTGAATATGATGCGACCAGATACCGGCAAGCCCGTTATGCTGCCCTTCCGAATGTCATGCTTTGCCCTCTCGAACCTGGTTGTCACGGCTGGAATGCTTACACCAGGTCTATCGGTACGCGCGCCCTGCCCTCTAAACACCGCATTCCTCATCACCCCGCACATACGATCTGAAAATGTCTCTGGGTAAACTAAAGCACAAACTGACTCTTCCCACGCCATGTAGAACACCGGGACCGTCCTCTGGCAAATCACCAACCAGTCGCTTAACGTCGCCATCAACAACGCCAACGCGAACAAGTCCACACCGCTCTCGTACTCGAAGCTCGCGCAGTCCTACTTCCTCGCCGTGGGCGCCTCGTGCTCTGTCGCCGTCGGCCTGAACTCGCTCGTGCCGCGCCTGAAGCGCGTGACGCCCTCGACCAAACTCATTCTCAGCCGTCTCGTGCCGTTCGCCGCCGTCGCATCGGCTGGGTTCCTCAACGTGTTCCTCATGCGCGGCGAGGAGATGCGCGTCGGCATCGACGTATACCCGGTTCTGTCGGACGCGGATAAGGATAAGCTAGCGGCCGAGGGCAGGCCGGAGAGCGACGTGCCCTCGCTCGGCAAGAGCCGCAAGGCGGCGACGCTGGCCGTGGGTGAGACGGCGCTGAGCCGTGTCCTCAACAGCAGCCCCATCATGGTCGTGCCGCCGCTGATTCTCGTCCGTCTGCAGCGGACACAATGGCTGCAGAATAACCCGCGCATGACACTCCCTGTCAACCTGGGCCTGATCCTGGGCATGAGCTACATCGCGCTACCTCTCGCTCTCGCGGCGTTCCCGCAGCGCCAGCGGATCAGCGCCGAGAGCCTCGAGGAGGAATTCCATGGCCGTGGCGGAGAGGGCGGCATGGTTGTGTTTAATCGTGGAATCTGATACCCCAAGAGATTGATTGATTGACAAGCGTCTTAGAATCAAGCAAGAAAGCAAGCGAGTAAGCAAGCAAGAAAGAACGAGTCTTTGATCATTAGATATAGAGACAGAATAAGAGAATTAGATATACAGCAGACAGAGAAGAACGCTCCCGTCTGTTTGTTTGGTTGGCGGGTCTACGAACGCTACACGAGAACGGTACGCTCCGTCCCGAGCAGGGGAAAGAAGCAAGTCTCGGGATGCTTTAATATCGCTCGTCACACGCGTGCGACTCCGCGTGCTACCTCATCTATCCTAGACGAGGCAAGGAGGTTTAGAGTCAAGTCACTCTGTTAGAAAGCGTTGACTGATGCCTTGCTAGATAGCGAAGCGAGCGGGATGAAGAGATGATATATATAGATAGAAATAGCTATTTATTTCATGATCGATCCCATCCACCCACCTTATCGTCTTTCTTCAAATCGTCAATCCTGTGTATACTCCTTCGTGTAGAATCATTAGCTGATACCCATCTGTTCATGAATTTGTCTCCAGAACCGTTGAATCCTGTGCCTAGTCGAGGCTGTTCACGTAGACGTACCCATTTCGCTGGGAATTGCTGCCTTTCCGTTGAAGAATCTGTAGTGTGACCTGCGAGGTCCTTTCGTTGGTGATACGGATCCGTTGGTTGTGGCTGGCGGGTGGATGCGTCGGATTTCCCTTTGCCCTTCGCCCTTCGTTCCGAGGCTGCGTAGGCAGGTAGGTACTTGTTGATTCGAAGGGCACGACGGCCCTGAAGGAGTCGAAGGGAAGAAGAAGGGGCGGTGAGATGGGGTAAATATAGTACATAGGTAATCAATCAGCCTTTCAACGCATACCTACCGATATTTGCGGCGTCGTAGATAGATGGATACATTGAGGCGGGCTGTTCCGCACCTTGGTGGTTCGCTTACTATTCCATTCTCCCTTTGCCTTTCTAGTCTTTCGCTTCGGGAATTCCCTTTCCCTTGAATTTATATATTGTCAATTTGCCTTCCCCCCCCCCCTCAGATGACCTCATATTTGCCAGCCCTGTTTCATGGGTTATTTCGGTAGGTACCTACCTACCTATTGTATCTTATTCTATACAAGTATGGTCTGGCTATCTGGCTGCTGTTTCGTCGGCGGGGTGACTGCACCCTTATTATTTCACCTACCGATAGCGTAATTAGATGATGGGACGATCCCATTCCCGCGTGGAGTAACCGAACATGGCATGAGACGAAACTGCGTACGTAATGGTGTTCGGTATACCTACCTGTGTACTAGTATTGCGTAGGTATCGTGCTATGCTACACATGCATATAAAGATCTGCCTTGCCTATAACTACTCTACTGTACTTACGTGTAGGCAGTGTAGGTAGGTGAGTGTGAGAAAACTGGCTACATAGGGTATCACAAGTACCTATCACGGGTAGTTATGGGATTTCCCATCATAGAAACCCGATTCTGAGGGGTTTCTTAGCGTACCTGGGCAACGAGCATGGAGTAAGTACCTCCCCATTGTAGATACACGCACAATCTATTGAGCAACTTATAACTATGCAGGTAGGTAGTGAACAGACTAGCCTTACGAACTGCAGTGCACTACCACAATAGATGCCTTGGTGTGGTGGCTCGATAATGATGTGAATGTGCACCCTAACACATACATAAAGTAGGTACTGTACATTACCTAGCGCCACTGGATACATATGTAGCGTCGCCGTGACGCGGGGTATTGTATTGAAATTACTACCTTGTGTACTTCGCTCCCTCGCCAGGTAGGCCAATAACTTTTTGCCATTTCTTGGAGTCCTCGTTGCTGAGGGGAAGTACCTACTAAAAAATTACCAAATATCAAACAGGCCTTTAAGGGGCGTTTGCTTTCTCGGCGGAGAGAGTTGAGGCGTAGGCTTTGCTGCTGAACCGAAATTGATGGTAGCTGTATGTGCCGACTACGTGTAAACTAGGTGGTCTCTGGTTCCCGATGTGGCGCGTGCTGATACAAACTCAGCCCAGCTCATATTTCTCGCGTCTGATATTAACATTTGGCTTTTGGCATTTGTCGCAAACATGCGGGTAGCCTTAGATAGGTATGTTTCTCTATCTAGTCCGGGTTCTAGGTTCATGCTCATCGGTGTCGCATGTGTTACATAAGCTGTAATCCTAGATTTACCCAACCGAGTGGCCGATTCGAGATCCGAGAGTGATACGTTGCGAGACGTTGCGGCCCTGAGAGCCGGGACAGTACCGAGAACACTTGGACCAGCTGTGCGTACTTGGATACATACAGGTAAACATGTAAACATGTACTTAATCTGTTATCGTGGCGAGGAGGGACGGCGGCGCATGCCTACCCCATCTGATGATGCAACTAGCTATACGTATTCAGTAACGTAACGCGCTAAGATCAACAGGTGGTGAATGGCGAAGCAGTGACTTCATACCTATACCATGTAGTTGATGGCCAGGGGCCAGGGCAGTGACCCAACCGAGGAACGCTAGCGAATGGATCGCGCACTTGGCTTCGTTGAATGGGACGAGAGGAAATCCTACCCTCCATGATATACAAGGGCCTCTGGAGACTGGCCGACTGGATGACTAAATGACTGAGTGAGTGGGTGAGTGATGAATGACTGACTGGGTGAGCTGTCGCCACTGGGAGGAGAGCTGGAACGACTAATAGTTACCTATTAACTCACGAGATAGTTAACCGCATAGATAACTAGTAGTAACTACCTAGGGATGGAGGAACAGACGGCTTTGCCGTGCGCCAGCGCTAGTCGCACCGTTCTGGAACTGGTCTGACATCCACCGTTCACCGTACTCGCAAGCGAAGTAGTGAATAGCTGTGCGCGGGAATGGTCACCCGTACACTACGTATGGTGCTAGGTAGCAACCTAACCCAGGGAGTTGGTGTATGGCAGTAAACCGGCAGGACCGGAATCTTTGGCAGGCTAAGTACTTAG